TTATTATGTTTTGTTACCTTCTCATAAGTTGGCCTCTTTTTCACAAAGTCCATGTTTTTATTTTCTTCCAGGGCATGGAGAAGTTTCCTGTAAAACATTTCAATCTCAACAAAGGAATTACATAAAATTCCATCTATAAAATATTTAGTAGTATTACTGGAACACAGCAAATTATTTCAAAACATCAGTTGTTGTTATTATAATTATTAGGCCTTTTCTCTTGAATAAAAAACACATCCTAAGGTAAGTTAGGTTTTTTTTTAGATGAATTTCAAGTTTATATGTATATATTTATATAAAGTTTATATGTATATATGTATATAATGTATATATATATAAACATATATGTTTATATAAATACATACATTATTTATAAATATAGGAATTCTGGTAGCATGGTGCCTAAGGCACTTGATTGCTAACCAGAAGGCTGGCAGTTCAAACCCACTAGCCACTCCTTGGAAGGAAGGTTGGGCAATCTACTTCCGTAGTGATACTGCCTCAGAAACCCAAGGAGGGGTTGTTATGAGTCAGATCCAATTTGACAGCAGTGAGGTTTTTTTTTTAATATATATATAGGAGCTCTGTTGGCATAATGCCTAAGGCATTTGACTGCTAACCAGAAGGCTGGCGGTTCAAAGCCACCAGCTACCCCTTGGAAGGAAGGTTAGGCAATCTACTTCTGTAGTGATACTGCCTCAAAAACCCAAGGAGGGGTCACTATGAGTCAGATCCGACTCCATGGCAATGGTTGTGTTTGTTTTGCATTATATAGATAGATAGATAGATATACACACACACATTTATATATATACAACACTCACTGCCTTCAAGTCAGAGCCAACTTCACAGCAATGGTTATGTTTGTTTTGCATTATATAGATAGATAGATAGATATACACACACACATTTATATATATACAACACTCACTGCCTTCAAGTCAGAGCCAACTTCACAGCAATGGTTATGTTTGTTTTGCATTATATATATATACACACACACATTGATATATATACATCACTCACTGCCTTCGAGTCAGATCCGACTCATAGCGACCCCTCCTTGGGTTTCCGAGGCAGTATCACTATGGAAGTAGATTGCCCAACCTTCCTTCTGAGGAGTGGCTGGTGGGTTTGAATTGCCAGCCTTCTGGTTAGCAGTCAAGTACCTTAGGCACTATGCCAACAGAGCTCCTATATATATACATATATAACAAGAATAAAAAATAAAAATAGTACATACAGGATTCTTTGAACTAGTGTTAAATCCTGGACATATGTGTTATATACGAATGTACAGAGTTTCAGAGAAAATATTTGATAGAAACATGAATAACTTGGTTAACTTAGACTAAAGTGAAAGGATATCCAGGTAAAAAGGGGCGGGAGGCAAGGCTAGGCCCCAAGGCCCCTAGAGCCAGGGCAGAGAGGGAGCCGGAGTGGCCTTGGGGACCTCAGGAGCAGCAAGATATCCAGGTAGAAAGGGGTGGGAGGTGAGACAGGCCCCAAGCCCAGTAGAGCCAGGAAAAGGAGGGAGTGGCCAGGGACCAGAATGGCAGGTTCCAGGTAGGAATTAGGTAAGGGGAGGGCGCAGAGGTTTCCAACAGCTAAGGGAGACAAATTTGTCTGTCACTTTGTCATCCTGTGAGGTTTGTATGATGCTGTGAGGCTTGAGGCTGTGCCATTGGAGTTTCAGACACCAGTAGAGTTGTACCTGATACACAGGTTTCAAGGCAGCTTATAAACTAAGACAGACTAGGAAGAAGGAGGATGCCATCCACTTCTCAAAAATTGGCCAGGGAACTTTATGAATTTCAGAGAAACACTGTCTGATTGATACATTACTGGGCAACTTTATGAATAGCTTGGAAACATTGTCCAACACAGTGTAAGAAGAAGAGCCCCTTGGGTCAGAAGGCACTCAATATAGGACTGGGAAAGAGCTGCCTCATCAGAGTAGAACCAACCTTAATGATACGGATAAAGTAAATCTTTCAGGACATCCATGTGCTGATGTGGCATGACTCAAATTGAGGAGAAACAGCTGCAAATATCCATTAATAATCGGAACATGGAATGTATGAAATATGAATCTAGGGAAATTGGAAGTTGTCAAAAATGAAATGGAACACATAAAGATTGTTATCCTAGGCATAAGTGAGATGAAATGGACTGGTTTTGGACATTTTGAATCAGACAACCATATGATCTACTATGCCGGCCATGACAAATTGAAGAGGAATGGCATGGCATTCGTTATCATAAAGGATGTTTCAAGTTCTGTCCTGAAGTACAATGCTGTCAGTTATAGGATAATATCTATATGTCTACAAGGAAGACCCATTAATACTACTATTATTCAAATTTATGCACCAACTACCAAAGCCAAAGATGAGGGATTGAAGACTTTTATCAACTTCTGCAGTCTGAAATTGACCGAACATGCAATCAAGATGTGTTGGTTATCACTGCTGATCGGAATGCAAAAGTTGGAAACAAAGAAGAATCACCGGTTGTTGGAAAATTTGGCCTTCCTTACAGAAATAATGCTGGAGATTGCATGATAGAATTTTGCAAGATCAACAATTTATTCATTGCAAGTATCTTTTTTCAACCACAAAAACGGTGGCCATACACGTGGACTTCACCAGATGGAATACACAGGAATCAGACTGACTACATCTGTGGCAAGACGAGATGGAAAAGCTCAATATCTTCAGCCAAAAAAGACCAGGAGCTGATTGTGGAACAGACCATCAACTGCTCATATGCAAGTTCAACTTGAAGTTGAAAACAATTAAAACAAGTCCACAAGAGCCAAAATATGACCTTGAATATATCCCTCCTGAATTTAGAGACCATCTAAAGAATAAATTTGATGCATTGAACACGAGTGACTGAAAACCAGAAGAACTGTGGGATGACATCAACAGCATCATCCATGAAGAAAGCAAGAGGTCATTAAAAAGATGAGAATGGAAGAAAAGACCAAAATGGATGTCAAAAGAGACTCTGAAACTTGCCCTTGAGCAAAGAATAGCTAAAGCAAATGGAAGAAATGACAAGATAAAAGAGATGAACAGAAGATTTCAAAGAGCAATTTGAGCAGACAAAGCCAATTACTATAATGAAATGTGCAAAGGCCTGGAGTTAGAAAACCAAAAGGTACACTTGGTATTTCTCAAGCTGAAAGAACTGAGGAAAAAAATTTAAGCCTCGAGTTGCAATACTCAAAGATTCTATGGGCAAAATATTGAATAATGCAGGAAGCATCAAAAGAAGATGGAAGGAATATACAGAGTCACTGTATCAAAAAGAACTGGTCACTCTTCATCCATTTCAGGAGGTGGTTCAAAAACCAATGGTATTGAAGGAAGAAGTCAAAGCTGCACTCAAAGAGTTGTTGAAGAACAAGTGTCCAGGAATTGATGGAATACCCATTGAGATGTTTCAACAAACGGATGCCCTGCTGAAGGCACTCACTTGGTTATGCCAAGAGATTTGGAAGACATCTACCTGGCCAACTAACTGGAAGTCTGTACTCATTCCAAAGAAAGGTGATCCCACCAAATGTGAAAATTATCAAACATTATCATTAATATCGCATGCAAGTAAAATCTTACTGAAGATAATTCAAAAATGGTTGCAGGAGTATATTGACAGAGAACTTCCAGAAATACAAGCTGGTTTCAGAAGAGGACATGGAATGAGGGATATCATTGCTGATGTCAGATGGACCTTGGCTCAAAGCAAAAAATACTAGAAAGATGTTTACTTGTTTTTTTATTGACTATGCAAAAGCATTGGATTGTGTGGATCATAGCAGATTGTGGATGACATTGAGAAGAAAGGGAATTCCAGAACACTTAATTGTACTCATAAGGAACCTGTACATAGATCAGGAGGCTGTCATTCAAACAGAAGAAGGGAACACTGCATGGTTTAAAATCAAGAAGGGAGTGCATCAGGCTTGTATCCTTTCACCATACTTATTCAATCTGTATGTGAGCAAATAATCTGAGAAGCTGGACTATATGAAGAAGAATGTGACATCAAGATTGGAGGAAGAATCATTAACCTGCAATATGCTGATGATACAACTTTGTTTGCTGAAAGTGAGGATGACTTGAAGTACTTACTGATGAAGGCTGAAAAACA